TGCTGCACACTGCTGGCTCATATTTAAATAGTTGTCCACTAGGACTCCAAGATCCCTCTCACAGTTACTTCTATTGAGGAAAGTACCACCTATACTGTACCTGTGCATTTCATTGTTCGGACCGGTTTGAGCAAACTGGAAGGGACAATTTGAATCGGTTCACCGAACCAGTAAAAACCACTGCTGGTGCCCCCGCCCACTCACCACTCACCTCTTCCAGACGCTCACTTGCCCCTTCCAGCCGTTCGCCCTGCACACCCACCCCTGCCCTATATATGTTGCCTTTGCCGCACAGCCCAGCTAATTGCCTTGCCAGTCGTCTTGCCCGTTCAGTTCAGTAAAGGTAAGCAATGCATGCCACCCGCTCACCCTTCACCTTGGGTCTGGGGCCCACAGACATGCCATTCCCTGGGGCCCTGGAACCGCTGCCCACTCACTGTCCGCCTCGGCCAGATCAGGGAATTCACCATTCCCCAGCTCCAGCCTTGTCCCAGAGCTACCGCCCACTAGCCTCGCTCACCTACCTTCACAGTTTGGGGGAGGGGGCATGACGAGGCTTGGCTACCTTTCGCTCCAAGAAGCTTCCAGCCGCTGCCCATTTTTGGCTGCATGCGAACCCCATTGTATGCCGGTGCCGTTCTCGGCTGGACCAAGCCAGGAAAATGGCAACAGAGGGATGGTGTGAAGGGAGGGAGAAAGGTTTGGCTTCTCTCTGCTGCAGCATTCAACATGGCTGCTTCTCCCCTTCTAGGGCCCACGCACACAGAACAAACATGAGAAGGAGGTGAGAAGCAGTCAGGTTGAACGCTAGAAGACTTGACCCATTGAACTTTTCTGTCGGTTCTGTGGGTATGACTTGCCATGAGTGATGGCACATGACCTCCCCACCATCAAGCCACAGAACCGGTAGGAAAAAAATAGAATTTCATCACTGGGATAATGATTTAATAACTGACCAGCTGCTGTAATGTTGTAATACTGTAACGATGATGCAATAGTAACAATGAGCCAGCAGGGTTACTTGACTGCTACCGCTTTAAGAAGCTGTAATATAAGAAAGGCCCTTTGAGGGCGTATCTTTCTCTCTATGTGTGCTTCTGTGCTATAGTTGATGATTGATTGCCTGACTTTGCCTAGTACATGTACATATATAGTCCTTATAGATAAACCACTATTTGAAAGACAAACCTGTTTACTGCATTTTGCTCCTGAGTTGTCTCAAAATAGTCACACTGCACACTGACAAAAAAATTCAAGAGAAACAGGATAGGGATTGACAATTGGAACAATAGCAAAAAAGGCTACTCAAAGAAGAGTGGATAGTAGGGGGAAAGGGATATATCTCTTGATTTTCTGAAGAAAAATCAATCTAACCAGCATGATCAATGATCAGAGGTGCTAGACAAAAAAAGTTCATACTATTCTTTTGTGCTGTAGTGTAGTGTAGTGAAACCAGAATATTAGTTTAATTGCTATGAAAGCAGGAGGTCCTTGTTCCCATTCCTTCAGTGACCATTCAAACTTAGCATGGTCCTGAGCAAGTGGTACTTACAATTGGTTCTTGACGTTCCAGCCATCTCAGCAGTCACATGTTCGCAGTTTGGGTGATCATGTCCCAGGACTTCCTGTTTAACAACTTGGTTTTTCTACAACTTTGCATACAAGCCATTTCTGACTGGTTTAAAGTAAATTGGTATGGCATTCATGGCTACAAATCTTCTTATTTTGAGTCAGATCTGTCCAATAATGGCAAAGTCACATGTTTAAATAGATATGGCAAATTGATTCTCTTCCTTTAAATTGTAATATATGTTAACCTGTTATTATTTCAAGTCTTTGCAACAAATAAGATCGTGGGTAATTTTAGATATGCATCACACTGCAATGCTGTTGTTTTCATCAATTAATTCATCAGTAAAAAGCTGAAGTGAGAGCAAAAGCAATTTTTTTTAAAAAATGTGATTGCTCTGTCTCTGGATTAGTCTATTAAATTTCCCCCTACTTTGGCAAGAAAAAATAAAGGGGACACGGATTAAACAGACATTGATAATTTAATACAAATCTTGGAATCCATATCTCTCCTCTACCTTCCTCTCCAGCACAAATGGGTAACATTTTAATGTGTTTGGACAACTCTTTGTTTTGTGGGGGGAGCTAGTTTCGTGTAGTGATTAAGGTGCTGGTCTAAAAACTGGAGACTCTGAATTCTAGATACCCCTCAGGCATGAAAGCTAGTTAGTTATTCTCTCTCAGCCCAACCTACCTCACAAGGTTGTTGCTGTGGGGGAAATAGAATGAGGAAGTAATATGTATGTTTCCTGCCTTGAGTTACATATAAAATAATATAGCGTAAAAATCTAATAAATAAAATAAATAAAATTAACTCTTGCATTCTCTATAAAGGTTGACAGGCATACTGTATATGGGTTTTATTATGTCTGGACGTGTTGAGAGCAGCAGAACTGAATTGCAGTTGTCCTAGAGTGAAATTCCCAAATCTAAGTCTGAGTATTGGGATTGCAGTTTTATGTGCCAATTTCCCTTCCTAGAGAATTTGTTCAAATGCAAAGCAACTCTGGAAACAACTCTTCCAACTATAGATGGCTTTTGTTGCTGGTGTTGTTGTTGGAGAGGGGCAAGAGAAGCAAGTTTAAAAAAACAGCCTGTCGTTCACGCCAACCAGTCCCCTCCCTTTGCCATTCCAAGTCACATCTGGTTTCATTCAGGTCTCCCCTTCCTTTACCACTCGCAGGCACACACCCCCAAGGGCCGAACAACTGTCCAACAAAAAGGAAGAAGGAATGGTGGGGAAATTTGCTAAATTAGTGGGGACTCCGAATCCTACTCCTTTAAAAAGAAAAAGAAAAAAGAAATGCAGGGTGTGCTACAATCGCCTTCTCTCCAACCCACACCCATCTCACAACACCGCAAATTTGGAAAGAGAGGTGGGGGGGAGCATACCTGAAGGAAGAGCATAGAGTCCGACCACAAGGATGAAGAGGATGCCCAGGGTGTAACTTAGCAGGCGAGGCCGCGTTGAAGAGAGGGGTCTGGAAAGCTTCATCTCGGACGAGGTGAGAAGACAAGTCGATGAGGCTCGTTGGGTCCTCTTTCCTCTTTCTCCTCTTGGATCCTCCGGCTCCCCGTCGCCGCGCTGTCTGGACGCAGTAGCTTTCCACCTCCAAACTCTCCTCCCGTTAGGAAGGTGATGGAAGAGAAAGACGGGGAGATGGGAGAAAAAAGAGAGCCCCCCAAGCCCCTCCCTGCCCTATAAGAATTCAGACGCTGCGTCACGAACCCCACTGGCTGCCCAGCCAGTTGTGGGCGGAAGGGAAAAGGGGCGGGGGGGAGTGAGGGAGGAAAGCTTTCTTTAAGACTTCCAAAGTGGAGGCAAACTTTCAGCGGTTTGGCAACCGGGACGATACTAAACGAAATTGCAACACGTTGCAAACGGGGTGGGGGAAGGAGAGGGAGGGAGAAAAGCTCGATCCTTTTGGAAACTTTCTGTAGAAAAAAAGAACCGTATCTCCTCTCTCCCTCCTTACTTTCTAAGGAGTGACCACTTCCACGTTAATTTTTGCTCCCGCGTGTATTCGAGCATTGTGCGTAATGCAAAGTGTACGCGTACATGTCATGTCTTGTTACATAGCCTTTTAAAGAAAATGTAAACAAAACTTGCTACAGCAGAGAGTGTGTATAGAATGTGGAAGGTTCTGCCTTTACCTTCACTACCACAAAAAAGTGTTCTGCTGCCATTCAAGAACTCCGTCGTTACTGTATAATGCATGCATTTCACCTTAAAATATGTTACACTATCTAATTTTGAAGTAATGAGAATATCAATCACCATCAATTTCTCATTTTTAACATAAAGCATGTAGTCTTTATTACTATTTTCTGTAAGTGGTGTTATTTCCCATTAACAGGAATGGGAATAAGATAAGACAATCCGATAATGGATTGAACTAAAAACCTCATAAGCCTCAGCAAACATGTCTGCCTTTGGGTTGAAATGAAATTGAAAAATCTTGGAAGACAACAGGTTATGCATCCTGTGCTAGACCTATCTATAAAGCCACAGTCTTTCCTCAAAGCCACATGCAATCAGGTCAAAGTGTATTTCTGGTTAGTCAACTGAAGAAGTGGACTTAGAGACTGCAAGTTTATGATATCAGACATGCCAATATTGTTTTGGTAGCAATAGGAAAGTGATTTGCAGTTCCTTGGGGGAGAGATTTGTTTTTTCAACTTCTCAGCTTAAGGTATAGGTCCCCTGGTACATTGGAAAGTACATATTTTGCTTGCACTTTTGGGTGTTTCTTATTAATATTGAAAAGAGTAAGGTTCTACATTTAGGCAAGAAAAACAAAATGCACAGGTACAGTATAGGTGGTACCTTCCTCAATAGAAGTAACTGTGAGAGGGATCTTGGAGTCCTAGTGGACAACCATTTAAATATGAGCCAGCAGTGTGCAGCAGCTGCCAAAAAGCCAACACAGTTCTANCAAAAAAATTGCATGCATAGCCTTATGGAGGCTTATAAAGTGCTACTGGGGGCTGGGGGAGCCTCTTTGTCACTCATTTCTGCCCTTTCCAGCTCCCAGAAGCTCTCTGAAAGCCTCCATAAGGTTATGCATGGCCATTTTGGTGAAAGGGCGGGGTTTCGGGAGGCAAAAAATGCTGTATTCGGTGTATAAGGCACACCCAGATTTTCAGCCTCTTTTTTGAGGAAAAAAAGTGTGTCTTATACTCTGAAAAATACAGTATATATTTAGTATTCAGACACACTATAAAGTTCTGAATCCTAAATATGAATGATCACACAATGATTAATTAGTTGATGCTATTATTATTCAGGAAACTGCCCAGAGCCATTTGCTATGAGATGGGCAGCAAATAAATTAATAAGTAATAAATAATTAATTAATATAATTAAAATAAATAAATAAATTTCTTTTTATAAAAAAGAAACTGACCATATCTATCAACTGTGACTCAAGGACAATTTGACCAGGGAGTGGGGAATAGATTATCATTATGCAATATCCAAGAATACTTAACAAACCATAATCATGCTCTGAGATCACCAGCAGTTTTTTTCTCCAATGCTGCCTTCATTTCTCCCTCTTTGCCTGTGAGTAAAACTTAAGTTATTGTTCATTGTACTGATATTTTAAAAAGTCTTATCCTTGTTAAACAGTTTCTACCGGTAGAAATGGTATAATGCTTCATCATAAATTACTTTGGTAGCAAAGACAGATAACTGTTAACAAATGTTATCAGAGGTATGTTTGAGAAGCATTGGGAGATATATGCATATATCCTCCTCTCTGGTCATAGCCACCCTTCACTTCAGAATACAAAATACAATAGCAGAGTTGGAAGGGATCTTGGAGATCTTCTAGTCCAATCCAATACCGTTTCAGACAAATGGCTATCCAACATCTTCTTAAAGACTTGCAGTGTTGGGGCATTCACAACTTCTGGAGACAAGCTGTTCCACTGATTAATTGTTCTGTCAGGAAATTTCTCCTGAGTTCTAAGTTGCTTCTCTCCTTGATTACTTTCCGCCCATTGCTTCTTGTTCTACACTCAGGTTGCCTTGGAGAATAGTTTGACTCCCTCTTCTTTGTGGCAACCCCTGAGATATTGGAACACTGCTATCATGTCTCCCTCAGTCCTTCTTTTCAATAAACTAGACATACCCAGTTCCTGCAACCGTTCTTCATATGTTTTAGCCTCCAGTCCCCTAATCATCTTTGTTGCTCTTCTCTGCACTTTTTCTAGAGTCTCCACATCTTTTTTACATTGTGGCGACCAAAACTGAATGCAGTATTCCAACTGTGGCCTTAACAAGGCATTATAAAGTGGTATTAACACTTCACAAGATGGCATAATCACTG